CGCAATAAACAAATTCATAATAAATAATTTAATAAACTGATCAATTTTATAACTTTACTACTTTGCAAGGGAATCTTAAAAATTGAACGTCCACCTATTTACCCTGCCGGAAGTAACTTCCAGAAGGACAGCTGGACTCGGCAACTGCCCTGCTAAAAGAACTTTTACCGACTTCTGACATTCAAGCAAAACCCAAGGATTTTCCGACAGTACAAGGGTCTACCTCAATTAAATGCTTATGATTTTTAAAGCACGGTTTCTTTTTAATAAGAAAACGATTATATTGTTGCATGCAAAATATGCATATATTTAAATAAATAAAAAATCAACATACTTTTAAGAAACAACAAACTATAGTTTTAGTGAAAAACAAGCAAGAAAAACTAAAATTAATCTCTAATATCGTTGTAAAAAACTATCGTATTTCATAAGAAAATTAAAATCGACACATTCTCATTTTCGGAGCAATAATCATACAAATAAAGGAAACATAATAGAATAGTTTATTAAATATTAAAATAAAAAGTTCACATTGTGCTTTTTGGTAGAATTCCGTTGACAATATAGCTGAGCCTATGACCACTGCGAATTCGTACAGTAACACGTGCTTCCTGTTCGAACATAAGTTAGAGAACTGAGATTTGCACATTATACAGATACAATTTTTCAAAGAATCATTAGCTTCCGCTTCAGTTCACTTTAGAGGACCACATATAAGTATTACATAATACTAATTAGACACACATGTCCCGTCAGCAAGCAATTTTGAAACATTTTATACTTTCGGAAAGCCACTTGGACGTTCCAACGTTAAAAACACTCAAGGAGTCACTTTCATGTAAAGTAACTGAGTTTGTCATGGGAAAAAGAACGAGTTAGAGGGTTTAGCTGTGTTCCTAGAAAATAGTACATACGTTGCAAGTTGATGCGGTAAAGTAGTTCGTCCATTGTTGTCCACGTAGAGGTTTGATTTGAGACAACTTCACCACCATTTTATTTTTATGAAGTTTTGGCTGTTATGTTTGTAGTTTCAACCAATCTGAAAACGCATATAGATGCAGGGTTTGTTCAATGCTTTAGGACTGCATTCAGAAAATATAATTTACCGCAAAGTTGTTATATTGCGTAAAAATATTACAAAATATCCTTCGTCCTTCAACGATTCTTTCTGGAACTTCTTAATTGAGATACTAGTAGAACCTTGGATCTCATCGAAGCTATTTACGCTGCTCTGTAAATAAGCTAAAATTGATCGTTTCAAGTTTATTTTTAACCTTAAGAAGAAAAAGATAAGTTGTAGGCAGGATGTGTCAGTGCTACCTTTTGTTTCTCGGACAAAACTCTTGAAACTAATTTAATGGACGATTTCTTCATATACAATCTTCAAAGGCTCATTTGATTTTAGTAAATTTAATTTTCTAGCACTTAATGGTGATATTAGCTCCATAGTTGTCTTCTTCCTGTTTTCAGATTTTTGTTATTTCGGTTCGTTTTTAATTGTTGTTTGCATTGTTCATAGTATACAGTGTAAACTCTATATAACGACACTTAAGGGACTGAACATTTTTCGGCGTTATAAAGAGTGGTCGTTAAATGGAGAGAAATAAAAGATAATATTTTACTACTCAATAATAATATGCATTTACCAATATAGTACACATTTTGCACACGAACATTATTATTCATACATTGCGTATAGCCTGTTATCTTCGTCTGATGTTTTTTGCTGCTCTAATATTTTAATTGTATTTCGTTACGTATCTTCATCATATCTTGAGATACTGCTGGATCAACTTGATTATACAAAAAGTATTTTTTTAATAGTTTTGCTGCATCAAGTGCTTTTTTGATGCTTGGTGGAGAGACAGGATCGTCTTCTTCAACAACGTACACAGCTGCAGTTCTTATCTATTTCGGCAACTTAGAAAGTACTGCTTAATGATGTATAATGCCGCATTGTTGTCGTTAAATAGAGTGAGCGTGACGCTATATAGAGTGTAATATTGTATAGAAAACAATCTAAACCAACCAAAGTCAAGCAATTTCGACGTTTTAAGGAGTTTGTCGTTAAATCGAGTGACGTTATAAAGAGTTTACACTGTATTTCACTTTTAGAACGTCATCAGGCACATGATTGAACTTTACGGTACCAATTAGAAGCGCAAAGTAAGGGGGTATATCCAAGAAACAAAAGTGCCCTAATTTTTAAAAATTACATTATGGAAATGCTGCTTTAAAAGAATTATTGCAAAAACAACACGAAATATGTCATTCTTGGTTTTCATTTTGACTAACGTTGTACGCTTTTCAATGAGGAAATTAATTGGTGACCTTTAATGTAACCTTGAAGTTAATATTCGAAGTCAGGTCAACTATTTTTTAATGGATGTGCATAATTTTAGCATTGGCAACGGAAATGCCCCGGAATTTATTAGTCGGATATAATTGAAGTTTGAATACGTATTAAAAATTTATTGCGAACATTTTTAGGTTTTGAGTACAGATTCATTTTAATTGATGACCCCCTTTACCCTTTTTTAAGAAATATCGCTACTATTATAAATTACATAATATGAACACGGTAATTCGGCTACTACAATGCATCATCATCATCATCATAAGGTCATCAGACCTAAGCCTGGTTGGACACGTACCTCCACTCTTTCCTATCCTGAGCTAAACTTCGCATTTCCTACTTTTTCTTCTCTTGCATATCAGTATTTTAGTTTTACTTTTATTTATTTTTATACAGTACTCATCTGTCAGTACCCCTTCCATTTTATTTAAAGCTATCTCTAGGTCCTCCTTGCTAAATGCTAATACTGCTATATCATCTGCGAATCTAAGCATACTAATCCTTTGCCCTTGCACATCTATCCCTACAATGCATACCCAATAAAAAACTTATGCTTATAACAATTACTCCTTTCTCCCGAAAGACCTGTTTCTAATAATTTCTATTTACAAATTTAGGAAACGAAAGCATCTTTTTAGATATTTAGTAAAATTCTCTGTGGTTGATTTTAGGTATATAGGAAGTCAGGACGGAAGGAGTAGTAGGGAAATAGCAGAGGATAACGCAGAGTCGAGTCGCTCTCAATAAAAAGAAGTCACTTCTATGCTCGCGAATTTAGAAATAATTTAGAAATTCGAAAAAGGTTGTTAAAGGTGTATGTTTGAAGTGCGGCCCTGGACGGGTGCGAAACATGGACAGTAGGTGCTGCGGAAAAGAAAAGGTTTAGATGCAATCAAAATGTGGTGTTACAGGCGAATGATGAGGATACTGTGGATAGAGAGGGTTAGAAATTAAGACGTATTAGAAAGAGTAGGAGAATAGAGGACTCTATGGAAGTCAATAAAAAATAGACGAGATAGGTTGGTAGGACACCTTCTCAGGCATGAATGTCTGGTAAGAGAATATTAGAGGCCGAAATAAGAGTTAAGAGGAGTAGAGGTAGACCTAGATTAGATTACTGTTCGCAAATAGATAGGATGTGGGATGTTCTAGTTTTAGGGAAATACTAGGATTAGCTCAGGATAGGAAAGAGTGGAGGTGCTTGTCCAACCAGTCTTAGGATTGACGACCTTATGATAATGATAGGCTTATGAAGACATACAAGTATAACAATAAGTTTAGATCTTATGCTGGGCTTACACGAAAACGAATGAAGTATTACTTAGGTTAAGCTAGACTAGTTCTAATATTTTTATGTAAGTGTATAAAAGTAAGCATTTCGTCAAATTTCCATTTTATTAGGTTTCCGTTCTTCAGAAGGGACAAACTTAAAACTACTACACAAACAGGATTCAGAATAATTTCAAAGATAAATACTCAATTTATTTTATTATAATATTAAAAAAATTCTGTTTTATTCAGTACCTATTTGAAATTAACGTAGAGTTGTAAAATTAACAACCAAATGTTTACAATACCAATTGAACTACCTCTACAAGGGAGTGTTACTTTTCAGTTCCAACGGACACTTTATGATAAATAAATAATTTTAAATATATAACAGGTGAATTAGTAGAAGAATATACTTACCGGTTATTAAGCGTTAACAACAAGAGAACAAGGCGCGTCTTTCACAATAACAAAATATGAATGTACATAATCGGGTCATTATTTGTATTACTTGTTTTTATTATTTTCCTAGTGAAACAACTTATTATTACTATTAAAACAATTTCTTTATTTGAACAACATTTTAACACTTAATACATTGTAAAGCGTTTTATAACACAGACAAATTACAATTATAATAATTGTTAGTTCTTATACATAACGGCATATTTTGCAATTAATTTTAAAATATTCGTGTTAGTTACTGCGATATCTTTCTGCACTTACCTAGTTAACATACAGAATAACTTAATTATAGGTATGACTAGAACTAATAACAGGAATAAATAAGGATGTGATTTCAATAGCAAAGTGTTCCCTTTTTATAGCCATTTGATTGAGTCTAGGTAGTTATAGTTACAGATAAAATAAAACAAAAGTAATTAGTAACGTTACCTATTATATAATCGTTATTTATTTCAAAAATCACAGTGTTTCAATTAACCTGAAGTGCATGACAAAATGTAATAAATAATTGTCTTAATCTTTTAAAAGTTCTTGAAGTGAAACTACTATATAAGTAGGCGGATGGTATTACAACTTTTTCTGTCACGAAAAAGCGTTACGGCCGCGTGGAGAGGGTAACGGCTGTAATAGATGGATATAATGCGCAGCCGCGCGGAGAGCGGGAGTCCGCTAGAGTCCCGGCGGCGTGTGCTGTGCTCAGCTGTTGTTTTCTTACATCTGCTCTCCACGTGGCTGGGCATCATAACCTCTATCTGCGGTCTGCGTAAAACCGAAATCATAACTTGCAGTAAACCTGTGAAAACAAAAATGTGTGCTGGGACACATAGTAGAAGTGAAACTTCAACGGACAAATGGAAAAACGAATGGCAACGGACAAGTGGAAAAACGAACCGCAACAAAATTTTTACTTCAAGTTTTACGGGCAGATTGTCAATGTACTTGACCAATTTGAAAACCTGCCCGTAAAACTTCAAGTAAAGATTTTGTCTGGTTCTCAAATCGGAAAAGTACATTAATAACCTGCTCGTAAAACTTAAAGTAAAAATTTTGTTGCGATTCGTTTTTCCACTTGTCCGTTGAAGTTTCACTTCTACTGTGTGTTACAGCGCACATTTCGTTTTCTTATTAATTTTAATAAGAATCTTGTTTCGATAAGAAAAACATGTGGAACACCTTCGTTGTAAGGCTTCACATATACGACGCGGCTACCCGCAATGCGATCAGCCGTTAAGTTGACCGCAGGTAACGACAATCATATTTGCAATAAACACGTTTTGTTACGGCAGCCTACAAAGGGCTTTCTGCGCTTGTAGTAGTGCGTCCTTTCCGACAGTTACCCGGACAGTTGCTATAAATTAATAATGTGTTATTGTGGGCAATATGGGTTTGTTTTTTTTGTTGTTTAATAACGGTTGGTGACCGCTGGTGGTTGGGATTGTGGCTAGCCGCAATGCTATTACGCGTTGTTTCAAGCGCATACTGTGGTCAACTTGATGCTTCATCACATTGCGCATAATCTCCCGGTGCTCCGAAAATGATATAATGATATGGCCTTGTGGATTACAAGGGCAAGCTAAAGAATTGGATGTATGTAATAAAAGTTGTAAATATAATGCCAGGGTGGGTTAATGGATACTATTACATTACAAAAACAGTAACAGCTTTCCTAGAAAGTAGTAGCCACTGTTTCATAGTAATTATGAAAGCCATGTAAACAGAGTAATGTTAATTATTAAAAATTATCTAACAGTATACGCTGCCAACTTAAATTATTGCGGTTTTTTCAGTTTTATTGTGCAGTTTATAAATGTATCCTAATTACATATATAATTGGTGATTTTGTTGCGGATTTCCTGCATGCATGTACATTTTTACGGAAATTAAACAAACAATTTATAACCATTCATACGTTTAACAACATGAAATAAACTTGAGGTTATATGACTTGATAACCAGTATTAAAAAGTCATTAAAAGTTAGTGTGAATTTAAGGGTTCGTGGTTATCGTAAACGTACTAATTATGGTCAATTGGTTTTCTAATGAACATTTACAATCAACTAAAAGTACAATATAAATATCATTAAGTGAAGCACTTTAAGAATATGACTTACGTACTAGTAGTATTTAAAATAGAATTACTCTGGTTTTATTACCTAGTTTTTTTTTATGAAAATGGTTTTGAAGTAGAGATATAATTACATTTGTAGCATATTTTAGTAGGTAGGTACTTATAAACAATAATTATTTCTCTTTCTTTTTTACTTTACTATTCTATTTCGAAATACGTTTACAAATAGTGAGGTTAGATTTCCTCCTCTTCTTGCCACCTTTTGAACATGGTTATTAGGAAAGTAGGCATTCCAAATAGACATAAAGGTAACTATGAAATGACGTGATATTGGTGGTACTGTCGGTGTCAGATTGAGCGCTTTCACGTTTATGTAGGAGTATTAAACGCTAACCTCAAAATTTTAACAATTGGATAGAAGATGATTTAGCTGCATCACTAACTGTTTATTTCAATAAGACTAAAACGGATAATTTAAAAAACTAACGTTAACAAACACCACAATAACAGGCGAATAACAGCGGTGTGGTATATAATTACAACTTATCAAGTTACGCAAAGCTTTTCGATTATTTTACTCGTGGTTGGGTTAAACCTTATTACCAACTTTACGTTACTTCAATGTCATTTTAAAAGGTACATCAGACAACTACAAACATTTCAAAAAATTCCCCAATTACTCAAACCTTTCTGAAAATAATTAGAAAGTCCTAGCAGCAATTCATGATTATAATAAAGCTCATTAGTAGAGATGATTGTGCTATCAATCGTATATATGATAATGACCGATGAGGTCATTCCTTCTTTATCATTGTTTCATTCTCGCCATATTTCCTCGTCAGTGGATTTCTCTTATCCAATTCTTCAGCGAGTCCGATGAGCAGTTCCCGGAACACTATTCCATCCATGTTCTTCGACACGTAGTATAGGAAAAGCCAATCGGTGTAACTGCAGTGTTTGGTCACGGTGACCACGTCCCATGGGTTAAGCCGACCCGGACAAGACATGGAGAATACCGTTTCATTGAACTGATGACTGCGTGCATGTAGACAATACGTGACTAAACGCCAGGCCGTTCCCAAAATGGACGCGATCAGCAAGAATAAAAACCAGAACCAGAGGAACGTGTAGATCTTGTCGTTTATTATATTTAAAGCCATAATGCACATGGCATCGTGGGACTGAATTGATCCTGAGGGACCGTACTTGTGGAAAGTGCATTTGGCCACCTGTAGCGGTGAAAAGGATAATGATTTTCGAAGTAACTGAATAAAGTTTCGATTTTTTAAGCTGTCAATTTATGTTTATCTCAATTTAGCACAATACAGTATTATTTTTTTGCATCTGTAATTGTACTTCTTTTATGGGAACCTGTATATTAAAATATTTTAAATGCACCACAAAATGGACCTTGGAAAGTCATATATTTCAAAAATGGAAAATGAACCCCTACTTTGTTTATATATAGATAAGATACAACAGACGAAGTACAAAAATAAAAGCAAATTCAAATTTTGGGTTATGTGGACAATTTAACAAATTGTTTGAGATTTATCGGAAACATGAGATAACAATGTAAAGTGTAAAGATTCAAGGATCGACTTGCGTGGATCTATGCAGTAGGTAAGTAGTATCAAAGGGATAAACTGTAGAAAATTAATAAAAATTAGGGATGCCCCTTAATTATGTGTGTTTTTCTTTTAAATTTGATTTTTCCTGTCCCCTAGTGAATTTTTTTTGGACACATCCCCATTTAATTTCACGAAATTAATGGATGTCTCCTTAGGATAATGTATTTACCTATATATTTTAAAAAGTACTTTTCTATTTTACAAAGTAAGTACATTGTAACTAGTAACATGGTGCATTATAGAAATTTCGGAAAATTTTTGAAGAAAAATTTCATAAAAAAGCCAATTAAAATGGTCTAAATTGGTAAAACAAAAACTACACAGTCATAATTGTTGTACATGCCTTAATTCACGTGTTGAAGTTTGTGAGATAAATTGGAACTTTTATTATAAGAATTCTACAATTACCTATGTTCCTTGGTGATAAGAATAGACTTATGGCTTTATATGTATATGACTGTGCTTTTTTAAATTTATTTTCTACAATATAATCCTAACCTACGAAAATAGTATTAATAACTAAATCGTAAGTGGTGCACCTGTTTAATCACAAATTTAAAACAATTATTCACAAAATTACTTCCATTCTTTTTAATTATAATATTATCAGTAAGTAATTTGAAGAAAGTGAATTTTAACACATTTTTCTAACTAGTACCCGATAGATGATACCAGTCAGATATTATGAACCATTGTAACATAAGAAATTAAAATTTATGATATTTCGGAATAATAAATATACGAGTAATATTTCTCAATAGGTGGTAGTCATTTTTTATAGAAAAATAATAATTACAGTCCACAGACACGAATCAATTAACATGTTTCCTTGATATGCATTTATTTCGTTTAATTTTCTACATAAGGCAATAAATAAAACTTGTTAGTCGAAACAAGATAAAGAAGCCCACACATTGAAACCGTTATCGTTAAGTTCTATTGTTCTCTGTTTTACGTAGTTGATTTTAACGTTTTGAATTTAAGTACGTATATCAACTCGCTATACGTCGACTATTGTCACAGAGCTAGGTACTACGTACACCTACATATGTAGGTTAGTACCAAATCTACCTACACATGTCCGTGCAAATTTTATTGCTATTTTGAAAGTGTTTTTGTAGACGAAAATTTAACACCTTATCTATCACGAACTTTGTGTATTCTTGGACTATGGAGGTTATTCACTTGTTAAACACAAATGAATTTAAATTTAGACTAATATCAATTAGTAGTAATGATGACTATTTAGATTCAATTAATCAGGATTATCTTTTGTTTACTAAAGTATTTATGTATAGGTTTGTAGAAATTCTTTTCTCACATTTTATACCTCAAATGTAATGATTTATTTATTAGGCGTCAAATTCCCTAAAATTAGATGCCTAGCTACTTTCTTACCAATTAATTAGATGCCTAGCTACTTTCTTACCAATTAATTAGATTTTGGAAATAAACAAGAGATGGATAGAAATGTGCTTAAAAATAAATAAATAATTAAAAACAAGCTAAATTGGGAGGTAAAAGCAATCTATTAAAATCAACACCTACCCATCGTCTTTAATGCATGTAGGTAAGTATATTGGTCGTATTGTTATAGATTTCTAAATTAGTGTTGACATTGAAGGTAAAACGTAGATGTTGGTTGTGATATTAAATTGTTTATTGATTACTATAGAATGAACTAACAGTAAAATAATTAAAACAGCCTGAAATAATGAAAAAAGTGTGTTACTAACCAATGAAAGTAATACTCATGTCCATAACCTAAATTTGGCTCTAAAATAAAATAATTTGTGTATTTTGAATACGATCAACTGCATCGGGTCATAAAATGTCATAAATGTATAATAGGGTCAATCTAAGATACGTTTCGACATGCAAGGCATCATCCTCAATCAAAGCCTACATCTATTATCATCAGTGTCAGAGTTTTTACAACGAAACTAAAGTATTTAATATGAAATATTATACTGAAAATTAAATTTCTGAATTTTTTACCCACTACACGCTACCTCAAATTAATGAGGGAAAAATTGTTGCTGTTGTCACACCCCCGCCGGGAATCGAACCCGGGACCTTTGGCTTTACGCACCAATGTTCTGACCACTAAACTACGAGAGGTGACAACAACAACCACGACCAACCGACCTACAAGGTTAACGATCCGTCGAACTAATGTAACTATATACTGAATATACTATGATTAAACATACATATAATTTAGATATCTTTTAGAAGTGAGTTAGTTTAATATGAAATATTATTCTGAAAATTCATTTCTGAATTTTTTACCCACTACACGCTACCTCAAATTAATGAGGGAAAAATTGTTGCTGTTGTCACACCCCCGTCGGGAATCGAACCCGGGACCTTTGGCTTTACGCACCAATGTTCTGACCACTAAACTACGAGAGGTGACAACAACAACCACGACCAACCGACCTACAAGGTTAACGATCCGTCGAACTAATGTAACTATATACTGAATATACTATGATTAAACATACATATAATTTAGATATCTTTTAGAAGTGAGTTAGTTTAATATGAAATATTATTCTGAAAATTCATTTCTGAATTTTTTACCCACTACACGCTACCTCAAATTAATGAGGGAAAAATTGTTGCTGTTGTCACACCCCCGTCGGGAATCGAACCCGGGACCTTTGGCTTTACGCACCAATGTTCTGACCACTAAACTACGAGAGGTGACAACAACNATTGCTTTTGTTTTATAGTTAGTTTTCACATTCACTGTCATCATGGGAATCTCTATCACTGTCACCAACATCAACAATTAGTTCTTCTGTTTGTATGTCTATTACTTGCTCACTGATCCCTATTTTTAAATATTTAATCTACGCCCCTGATAACAATACTGAAGAAAGAGGGCTGCAATAGTTGTACCTAAAACTGCCTACTTTTGCCACCGCGCATCCACGCCATTTTAAAATTTCCGCCAGCTTCTAGCGTCAGGCCTATAATTGCTTGTAACTTATGCTAGAGCCGGGGCAAACATTAACTTCGTAGGAGCCGCTAGCTGAGGTTAGTTTGGGTCGTTACTACTCTTCAATGAGTACGAGAGGGTAAGCAGTAATAACCCATAGACATATATTAATGGACGTGCCTTAGCCGTATGTCGTAATAATTTCTTGACCCGAAAAGTAAGGGAGATGGCGTATGGTTTCAGACTAGTGCTATCTCTTTCATAACACGCTTACACACTTTCGTGAGAGAGACAGATATTGTCAGAAACTTCGTTCCACCTCTTTCTTTTGTTGTACCACAATTCTGACCGCTAAGGCATGTCCATTAGTAAACGTCGATGTAATAACCCATATTACTTTTTTTCTTCTCCCTTCCACTCCCATATCAAGCCTCTTCATCCCGTAGACGAGCGAAGCCTCTCTCGCAACTTAAATGATACGAAAATTTTCTAATGATCGTCCCGCAGCTCAGGGGTAGTATGCCGGACTACATTCGCAATATTATTGGGTTCGGTTACGGACGAGGGGACTCACCTACGAAATGGAAGGGACAAGAAAAGGAAAGAATCATCTCACTTGCGCTCGCAGGAGCAATGAGGAGCTCCTTGAGTATACCTGAGGAGCACTCGGGAGTCAAAAGAGCAGAGTTTGCCCGGCTCTGACTTATGCTAACTATTGTTTAGTGCAATTACCATATGGACCACATAGTGTTTCCAAAATTGTTCAGTTTGTCCTGTCAGTCATACCTTTTATATTAAAAGTTATTGTTTGCATGCTATGAATAACTACAGACAGTTATTACATAAAAATCTCAAAATATCGCTAGTCCTTTTAAGATGACGCAATAACCAAGTTCTACTGTACCTTTATCGAAGCTACTAGAAACACGGTCTGTTGTATATTTTCAAAAAATGGAGATGTAAAGGTACAAATAGTTCCAAACAAGAACAATTAAAAAAAAAAGATTTACCTTCATAATGCTTCCATATTAGATGTGGTAAATGAAACATAATAGCCTGAATAAACAATACAAATGGAACCCATTGATAGTAAGAATGCCTTATAATGGGTTCAGGTGAATTATAGCCTAGAGGGCCGAAAGCACCAACACCTGGATGGGCGATTGCTTCTAAGTCGACTAAACTAGAATTTAGGTACTTGACCTCAAATAAAAAAGAAATCAATTTCTTATCGTTTTTTGGAATGGGATATTTCATTTCGATGCCGTGGTTTCTTCCAGGCTGTTTTGCCGTGGTCCATGTAGTTTTGATGTTCCAGATCTTTCGCTAACGGCATCTTCAAAACCCAGCAACCAGGGCCGTAGCGATGAGCTCGGGGCCCCGGTGCAGTATTCCGCAAGGGGCCCTTCTTAAAATTGATGATCAAACATATGGAATATTGTGACAAGAATTGATATAGAAAAAAGTAAAATAACAAATTATGATGTTCATTTCGTAGTTTGACTCAGCTCATCTCTAACAGCATAGTTTTTTTTAGAAGTCATTTTTTTAAAACAGAAAACTGCTAAGGGGCCCCTCGACTGCGGGGGCCCCGGTGCGCCGCACCGCTTGACCCGGCCTCGCTACGGCCCTGCCAGCAACCATCATATCACTACTGAAAATGCCGTCAGTGAAGAACGGCAAAACGTCTGGAACATCAAAACTCCATGGATCACGGCAAAATAACCCGGAAGAAAACACCGCATCAATGCACACCAGCCGTGAAAGCCTAAAGACTGCATATGTTCTATTTTGTTACTTTTTGCAGTGAGCATTATGGGAATTTTTTGGATTACGTTGGATTTAATTAATGATTAATAATTAATACTCTTCACTTACTACAGTGTAGGTTGCTGTGAAAAAACAGAAGGTGTTTATGACATGCGGTGGGACTCCGTTGTCACTAATGCATCGTATATGTTCTCCAATGTATTGACGGGATGTTACCAAAATTGTGGCCACCAACAAGAGGAGTGTCGTTATTCTATAGTGCAATTTAAACACATAATTGTCTATGTAAATTGACTGTGGGAATAGTTTGAAATTGGCCTTGATCGTTGCGAAGGTGTGTATCATTGTGCCGGCAGAATCTGGAAAAATATTCACTTGAGATTCAGGCTTTCACGGGAATTTTCTAATGTTGATTTTCGTTTAATCTTTTATCACATTTTAGCGTGTAGCGTGTTGTGGGTAAAAAAATTCAGAAATTGAATTTTCAGTATAATATTTCATATTAAACTACCTCACTTCTAAAAAATGTGTAAATTGTATGTATGTTTAAAGTATTTAAGTTTGAACTTCTCTTACCTTTGGAAATACAACATCTAAAACATCCACGCTAGGTTCTAGACCTTTGTAGAATATTTCGTGACCTATCTTTAAAAATTGACCACCTAGAAACTGGTTGGTGAAGTAAATTTGCAAAATAATGTTAGCCAAATTCAAAACTTCGCAAAAAGTTAACCACATGGACCATGACCTGTTACAATATAATCTTTTCATGAAATTCTCGTAAACTTGTTGCATTTGTTGTTGTCTGTGAACGGAGAGAAAGTTGTAAATAGCATTGTTCAATGTGCTTTAAAAACTGTTTACCTCATCTCTTTAGAAGGAATAAATTTTCCGTCTACAGACATGGATTTATCACTAACTGAAAATGCAGCATATCTGAAACTATCTACTAATCTCCTCATACGTCCACCTTCAAAAGAAAATGTTTTTTCCAATGTTACCATAAAATAATTATAAGATTACCATTCAACCCAAAAGACATTCAAATGTAAAATACAGCAGAACTTAGTTATAACAACATCGGATATAGCGACAACTCTGATGTAACGTCAGTTTTCAACAGTCCTGCAAGATTATACGTTATTTAAATCACAGTATCCGATACAACGTCACATTTTTAATACTACAAATCCTTCAAACGGTAGCATTATTGCCAAATAGTATAGTACAGGTCGGACGAAGGAAGCTGGCGAGCGGTCGCGCAGGTACTTGCCCATTTATGACCTATTTGGGTAAGTCACTTGGAACCGATACACAAATAAGCTTTCAGTAGGCGTAAANATTTTTATTCTTCATCGAAATCACGATCCAATTTAACTAGTTGCATAAAATTAATTTGGCGTGCAACGTACAACGTCTGTACAGGTATACGATACGTATATACTTTGTTATGTATACTTGAAAATGAAGTTTCGAAAAGGAAAACACTTCAATCGACTTCAAATTTTTACCATATATTCTGTTATGAATTAGCTGACGATATCAGAAACAATATTTAGCAATTCGAACCGGAAAGGGTAAGAAAATATGCATAAGTGGGTTGTGGGGTATTAAAAGGAAGGTTGGCTGAGAAGCACAATGTTGGTGGTCGTTCCAGCCGGAACTCTCCCGTTCAAAACAGAAACCTTCTGTCTCAGTGAATAACCTAATACGTTTTCGTAAATCTACTATTAGGGTTCCGAACTATTGTTTGTCTGCTATTTCAGTGACTAATCATCGCAGCTTTCCATTGACAGAATCTTGAAATTTGATTCGAAGGAGGGCTTCACAGTAAACAAAGGGTCGTTGATTTATCATTTCTAAACGAAATTATTGTGTGAAACTTTAACTTTAGTATTGTGTAATACGTATCATGGTATTATTCCGGCCGCATTCGAATTACATATCCCAACGTTAAAATTTTTACCTGTAGTCGAGGAAATAAAGCATAGAACCTTCAAATTTTGTGCCGTAAGTCGGAACGAAATGCAGTTTTCTGAATTTATGGATTCATGAGACCGTCTACAAACTTGAACATAAGAGATCAATTCATCTTCGCTGCATATAAAAAATTGCAACTCGGTCAATAATGAATAGTAATAAATAAATTTTGTTACTAGAAGGGTTTGAAGGTCGGCGACGGCCTCCCAGGTACTTGAAGCCCAGGACGATCGTCTCAAGGAGTTATGTTTTAAATTAATTAAAAATTAATCTTTAAAAATTTGCAACTTGATCAACCCTTATAAGTTCGTATTCCTGTAGATAAAAGGAAAAACATGAACACGACAACACTCATTTCGTTTGGGCTACCATTTTCTATCGTAATCTTCTAAGGAATTAAACAAGAACCTTTTTCGGTTATCACATTTAGCTATTTCTTTTTCTTTTGTTTTTCACCTCTGGCGATAACACCTCATCAGTGTTGGACAAGTTCATCCTTACCTCCTTCACAGTCCTTTTCTCCTCCAACCAATGACTTAGGTATCTATGGACTTACCTAATTTTCAATATGCAAAAAGGTATACCCAGTTAATGTACGAGTATTAAAGGTGCTTCTGTTTGATTGCTTAAGATCATAAGGTTACGGTAGGAATAGGCAACTCGGACAAAGTGAGTGTTGTGGTCGTGTGTTATGCCTTTCTTTTTGTTTACAGGAATACGGACCTGAATGTGATTTATCGAAATGGAAGGTTTTTCCATCATCATTGTGGTCCTCTTAGCCTAAGCATTCATTTGGTATTCCATACCCTACTTAAGCATATTTTTTTAGTTACCTCTGTCACCTTCCCTGTATCATTGTGTAGTCCACAACAAAGAATGTAATAATAAGTTCAACTCAATGCACATGTTTTTCAAATCTCAGTTTGTAAATTCTTTTTCTCTCCGATTTAAATTATCAAAAGAACCTTTAGGTATACTCATCTAATTCATGATAACAGACTACGTATACGTTAAAAAATATTTAGAATGCCAGAAGTCCATAGTCTTTCAAATCGCAAAACCACTTTTTTTACTATTACTAGTAGGAAGAATAGAAGAAATTTTCTGTCAACGTCTACACTTATGTAAACTAATAATGAACAATAAGTTCTTGGTCAGTAATTTATGGAAACCATCAGAGGTAGATTGCGTTTCGGAACTTTGTAGTTCTCATTAGATTTGATGCTAATATTTATGTATTAAAGTATAAAAAGCTTAACCGCGAATCTTTGATTGTTGTGCTATCAACGCAACACTGATAATTCCTGCATTGAAAGTTAACGAAACATGTGTCTGTTTTAAAAAAACAATTGTGCTGTGTAAAAGTGGATCTCTTCGATATTATTTTAGTTACTTACAAAATCTCATTTACTATTATGTTCTTCTACTCCTTAAGGTTGTTACTACCGCGCAAACGAAACATTGATGACTGACACAACACAACAATTGATGAAGAATAACATCTGCTGTTTGTGATCAGCCGTTACCGATTGATCAGCCGCGGCCTTTGACAAAAAGAAAAGAATCAAGCTAAGTTCACGAATAACACCCTCACACATTGGTGTGCGGAGCCTTTGAACGTTGGTATAACATTGCTTATGTTCAATTAATTACTGTCAATTACACATCAAAGCGCGAGTTTTGATTTTTTTAGTATAATTCATGTGATATGTAGTAATGTTAGAAGTTATCGATTAGTTAACCTCGAAATCGCACATTTATTCCATCTCTCTCTGTAACGTCATGCGCCATGTCGAGGATTCGCGCCCTGAAGCTTAGTTAGCGTAGGCGTTACTTTGTAACAGTCTATTGAATTTGTGATAATTAAAGAAAGAGAAATTATTCCAGTTGCATCTCGCTTAAAGGAGTATTTTGACCAGTCGAATTGCATCCCTAAGTAAATAGGTTAGGTTATCTTAAGTTAGGTTAGGTTAGCTTATTTATTTTTAAAGAATAGTAGAGGGTTACATATTAACGCCGCTGCAAAATTTGCCCAAATGCGAAGTAATAAATTACAACTTCTTTCACAGGTGGGATGCAATTCGAAAGGTACTCCTTTTTCGGCCAGTAGTCGAGGAAATAAAGTACAAAAATAGGTCAAATCTTTGAATTTTTGTGCTTCGATATACGGTTTTCTGCATTCGATTCGAGAGACCTTGTACAAACTTTATGAACATCAGAGGTCAATTCATCTTTAAAAATGTATCGGTGCATAAGAAAACTGCAGTCTTATAAGTGTTATAAACAAAAAATTGCAACTCGGTCAACAATGGTAGAAATAAATCCAATATTGTTACTCGGGGGTTTTGAGGGCCGCTGAATACAAATATGTAGTCGGTGACGACCACCGAGGTAGCTGGGGTCCAGGGCGACCGTCATAGCTACATGACGTTTGCAGGGGTTATGTTTTAGAATTAATTAATACTCAATTGAGATTAGTTACTGGGAGGTTTTGAGGGTCGCTGAACACGAATATGTAGTTGCCTATGCCATACAATGAAAGTTTAAATGAAAATTGTTTAGAGAAAATTTTGTAAANAACCAATGAGGTCGACAACAGTGGCGGTCCTTTAGGCGCTTTGAGTTCCATAGTGTCTTGGTTTCTACCCCAAGACAGAACAACTACGGAAACAACGACAAAAAACGCCTGAATCAAGCATTATTTTACAAACAAATATTACATATTTCTGTAAAATTAACTGTTAATTAACTAATTTATGCGTTATAATAAATCGTAAGTTCTTTAAAAATTAATTTTGTTTTAATTTCATCACGTTTTCTAGAGTTAATGCATCGTAACAATATTAAGGCCAATTTTTGGGGCACAAATTTAATCAAATCATCAAAGGTGTCATTTTATTTTCATTTGGGAGGAGACCAATGATTTTACTCAATACATCATCGATGTTTTTAATTTTTCATTTATGAGAAAATTCGTTTTCTCCGTGTTTTCAAGTATAAAGCAATAAACTTAAATTGTCTGCGTAATGTGATATCACTAGAATCCTCTTTTCAAAATGGTCTAATGGCTAGCGTGCAAGTTTACCACGTCAGGTTGCCCGAGTTCTAATCCTGCAACGTGCACAGTCCTTTTTTAGTTTTTTCTTGTTGTATGGTTTGTATAGTGGAACTCGGTCGCTCATATAAAATAAATCAGGCAAATCGTATAATTTATTGTACCTACTTATACTGTAAGCAATATCATTCAACCCGGTATCCTGTAAGTACTTAAAATACAAAAAAAGAGTTTATTAACAGAAGAAAGTTATTTTGAAATCACATAAAGAAAATGATCATTTTTATTGAATTTACAAAAGAAAGAATTTTAGCATTATAATTTAATGTTTTCGACATAATTATAAGTGTAATATTATTACAAAAGTACGTCAGACCTTCTTCTATATAAAGTTCTTTTAAATTTAATGATATCTTTTATCGAATCAGGCAATTTTAATCCATTCAGAAGTGTATTATAATAACATGGTTTCTTTAAGAACGCGTTCTCATAAATAAAATATCGGACCCGATTCCTACACAATTCTAACAACGATGGCACTTCATCCATGTTATTAAAACAGTCAATAATTTCGTTATGTAATGCAACTAATTCGTCAGTACGATCAGAATTATCATTACAATAATTTGTCACCACGTTTCTGATAAAATATTCGTCTCTTAAGGTTTTCCTTATTGTACAAAAATTGACGATTTTTAAAATACCCTTAAGATAAACCCGAATTTCGAAAAAATTACCGAAGCAATCCCGTGTTATTAAACATTTCAAGTGTTCGTCAACGTCTGCTCCAAAATATAAGGCAAACAACCCCGGAAGGCTCGAATAGCCCCACAATGGTACCGAAGAAGGTTGCACGTCCATGTACACGAAAGCTTCAAACTCTTCGTCATGCCCAAACTCATTATAAAATTTTAATACGTCTTCCAGCTGCACTGGCAACCCGAGCGATAAGAATAAACAAATAATTTCTACTCGTACACTCCTTTCGATAGTTCTTAGATCGAAAGCTTGTAACAATGAGAAAACGTTATTATGAAAATTGTCGACCACAAGTTCGCTGGCAACTTCGCATTCAAGTATGTCATATAAACAGTCTGTCCATTCGTCGTCCGTGTAAGTACACATGGCCAAATATTCGACCAAAAATTCGTCCTCAGGATCCAACAAAATCCTTTTGTTAATTACTGGCCAAACCCTTTTAAATATACTTTTATTTCCGCGCATCAATATGTCATGCATAAGCTTGTAATCATCAGGATCAATTTCGACACTTCTATCTAGTAGTGCCTCGGCTAAGGTGTGATTACAGGCCATGGCCAGTGCAAAGGTCGTTTCTCCGTTAAAACTTACGTTACTGAAATCGACCTCGTAATCCAAAAGTTCGTAGGCGATTTCGAGCGATTTTGCACCTAAAGCTTTCATGAAAGCTGTACTGACGTACTTGAAACATTTGGCCGTTACATCCGCCCTATAGTACAGTAACATCCGAACGTATTCGATGTTATTTGCTCGCACAGCTTCATGTAAAGGTGTTAATCCGTCATCGTCAACAGCGTCCACGTTTGCACCCCGTTTGATGAAAATCTCAGCAAATTTGATGTAGCTGATGTGACTGCAAACGTGAAGATATGTCCTGTTTCTATTGTTACGGGTATTGACATCAAAATCTGTCCTGATCAGTCTTTCTACAATTTCTACGTCTGCGACGCGATCAAGTGCCATGAACAAACATGTTTCATTGTCGTTGTTGACCTTGCAAGGATTAATATCAGGCAACTGAAGAAGGATTTCTAGAAGCTCGAAACTTTAGAGAAGAAATATCAACACTATCTTATTTTTATAGTATTATCTTTAGCAAAAACTTAATCAATATCAATCAATAGGACTTAAGGTACTTCGGAGACTGTCGCCGACTGTATATTCGTGTTCAGCGACCCTCAAAACCCCCGAATAATAATTTAAAACATAACTCCTAGAGACGATGTGTATGACGATCGCCCTGGGCTCCAAGTAGCTCGGAGGCCGTCGTCGATCCTCAAATCCCTCGGGTAATAAAATGGGACTTATTCATTATTAACCGAGTTGCAATTTTTTTTAACTATTGCATTTTTCATATGCATCGATGCATTTTTGAACATTAATTGATTTCTTATGTTCTTAAAGTTTCTAAACGGTATTACGAATTGAATGCAGAAATCACATCTCAATCCGACTTACGGCAAAAATTCGAAGGTTATAAACTTGGGATATGCAATTCAATGTGACCAGAACAACACCGCAATACCAAGCACTCCCTCGAATCAAATTTCAAGATTCTATTAGTCAATGGAAAGCTGTGATAATTAGTCACTAAAACAGAAGATAAACAACAACGGGATCCTATGATAATTCAGAACCTTAATAGAAGATTTACAAAAACATTTTAGCTAGCATGCATCTATATCAGTAGTGACGAGTTGAGAACCGAACATAGGGATATTCTGTTGCATGTATCAAAGAGCGGCATCATCATTTGAAAATATTCGTACAAATATATTCAGCTATCATTTCATACAAATGAAAAAGTAATGTAGGTAAGTCCGTAAATACAATTTGAGGCCTTTGAGAGCGTTACGTTTTGTTCAAAAGAAGTTAAGAATTTCTTAATATAAAATACCTTAAAATAATCTTGAACGTCTTAAGGTCAATCGTTGGTGTGAATTTATAAGTTAAATAGAAAACCTTCACCCCTTAGCTGGTTTTGATTTGGAATTGTTTTTCACTTTTCTTTGAACTTTCATTAACGATTACGTAAAACATATCGGCAAATAGTGCTTGTGTGGTCATAAAATACACATGATGTTATTACAACGTATAACAGTCATTATTCATAAGTTTATGAAACAACCTACAAATAGAATGCATTATTAGCTTTACGGAGAGAGTCATTGTTCTTAATAATTGCACTGTAACAGGTTTTTCAATTGTAGATAAACATAAGTGCCTAATTTTCTTGTATCGTTTATATTTATTGTCATATTTCTAATTTTAACTCAAGGATGAGACAACACGATAATTTCGCACAATAGTTATTTTAATTATTCAAATTCTAAAAAATTGATACTCTCATCACGTCTATTGTCTTGGGCAGTTTTAGGAAGAACAATAGCATACAAAACTTATTACTTATTTTATCAGTCATATAGAATGATAGCTGTTAAATATTATGTAAAAGCGGTGTTTCTAGATTTTGATTTTATGACACTAAATAAATTCACATTCTAATATTCTATTCTAATATTTTTTTTTGGGAATACTCTTTCTGATTAAAGAAGAGTGAAGCAACCGAAAGTAATTTCCGATGAATTTTTTGACACAAAATTGAAATCTTGTTTAATGTCTTAATTGCCCTCTAGCACATCAAAACTAACATTTATATTGTATACTTCAATACTTCGTTTCGATAAAGAGAATGGCGAAATTTTAGTGTACCAGGGCAATTATGGTTTTGAGTTCACTAAGAGGAATGGACAACTCTAACTTGTTAGGTTATAGTTCAACTGCGAGTGTGCCTGTATTAGTGCAAGTTTTCCTGTGTTTTCCTTACATGTATGTAGTGTAGGAAAATTCTTGGGCAGTACTATTCCACAAGTACTCTTTCACTTTTCTATGCCTTGTCTGTCTGTCCTAGGCCACCACTACCTTTCCTTTCTCATTATTTCTAAAGGAAACTGAGGATAGCCCTAGAAAAGCCCTATATACTACCTTGCATCACAATGCAGGGATATCGCCATACCGTACAGTCTATTTTAATTAACGTGGTGGTTCACTCAGTCAGCGCATGGTGGCTGAAACTACCGCTATCAGTTTCCCAAGACCTTCTAAAACCTTTTGGTACATGTCTAATCCCTACTAGGCTTTTTCCAATCTCAGAAAGACTTCTCATCTGAGATCCCAGGCATCCCATAGTGCCAGTACTCTCTCACAGGTCGGATGTTCCAGGGACGAATACCCCACCAAGTACGATTGCTTACACTTCGGCACCAGTTAGTCATTTCGGATAGATGGAATCGCCACCTTCCTTTGGTTTTTGACACTCATGTTGGCCATGCTACTCTGGCCCTCATTAATAAGTGTAACGAGCAAAGCCACTTTCGCGAATCTCTACCACACATCTTTTAGGGTAAGCCCTTTTCCTACAGTAGGATTAACTGATGTGAATCAAACACAATAAAAGTTGGAAATTATTATCCTCTTTATTATACTAAACCTGCCACAGTAGTGGTCTCTTTATTGAGAGTAGTCTTTTTTCCAAAAATACGCGGATTGAAAAGAAAAAAAATAGAAGAAATGGTTAGGGATACACGGCTTGACATGATTTTCAACCTGTTTGACTCGCCTGTACTCGAAATTAGTTCATGTTCAAGTCAAGTACCTGTTTGGAAAATCAAGTAGTTCTTGAAGGTTTTGAACCGATTCGAAATGAATGTTTCGCCAGTGCTTATATTTAATTGCATTATTATTTCTTTTTCGGCAACTATTAAGGTAGTTACACATATATAAGAAGTATACGAATAACAATAATTATAAACATGTTTATCTGAGATGAAATCTGATGAATTCACCCTTTGGAATCGTGGAAAACTTATAAACAAATTTAAATTATGGGCAAAACATACAAAGTATTCATTATTACGGTCCATATCAGGAATAAAACTGCAGTTCTTTAGTAAAGGTAAAATTGCTGGATGTTCTGTTAGTCGTGATTTCTTGAATATAGTTACGTTGTAAATAGGGTTGGCAGGTCTCCAAACTTAATAGCCGAGCAGATCAGCCAGTTTGACCCTACATTATTGAGGATTCTGTGTCTCAATATTAATAGGTACGACAAAAAATTTTTATGTGAAATCAAGCTTTTTTTATCATTACTGTTAAATTCTAATGAAATAGAAATAAAATCCAATGCCAAATTAGTCTAAGTACTTTATTATTAATCAGTCAAATAAAATCATCAGTCAAAAATTGCGAAATATAAAAAGCCTAACAACAGCCGGACAAGCCGGACACCGTTTATTTTGGCCGGACAAGCAATCAAAAAGCCTAACCATGTCCGGCTTTATCCGGGCCCCTGGCAACGTTAGTCGTAAAGATGTAATTCCTTGAAAAATAGTTTTGCTATTGAACTGCGGTGAAATAAAGCTTCCAATCGTCCTTAGCAATATATTATGGGTGGAATTTTCATATTACTTTAACCATGAAATTAAAACTTGGAATCCCAATCAATCATCTAACCTATGCAGTGGAAGTATACGTATTTCTGTATCATTACATCTTAAGCCTTGCAAGGGCAAACAAGTAAATATATATATTTAGTGTTTACGAAAAGATTTTGGTTTTTATAACATAGAAGTTATGTGGATTCCAACGGCTTTGATTACTTCCCAGCAATAAAAGACTTTTCAGGTGAGGAAGGCTTTGAAACAATACCATTGAAGAAATTATCTCACTCATAAAGGTTTGAGTGTCACTTTCAATCAGTATTTTCCAAATCATTATCATTTTATTACGAATAATCTTTTTAAAGAATATTATACCAAACCGTGCTATTATTGAATAAAAGCAGGGGTTTCAGGAAAAGAAGTAGAGATTAAAAAGCGCCCCACCTATCAAAAAGTCTAACAAATTCTGATCTAGAACATTAAAATCTCCAGATATCATATATAATATTAAAACTATATAAAGCAAATCCGAAACGACTCTCGTCATTCTAAAGTTGAAATTCATCTTGAGAATAAGCCAACTTTTTTGACGCAACATGCATAACTACATGTTATCTGCTGGCGAATGTTCACTTGAAAATTGTAATTATCTATAAACTGTATCTGTTTAAAGCAAAACTGCTGCTAACAACTTAATAGATAATTTTTTATTCCAATGATAATGAACATCGCGTTTTTTTATCACATTTGTTGAATTGCTGTGATTGCGACTAAAATTTTGATTTAAAATGTGCAGACCCCTTATCACATTCGAGAATTGTAGACTTTATTTTCGTTCGATTAACTTAACTTTTGTAGAATTTTTTTTTAATCCAGGCCACGACGTCGTCTTTTTCAAATAATTAACACTCCCCCGAAATTTCGTGATGAGTGGCATCATTTTAACGTAATTAACATAGAACTATTTTATTTGTAAAAATTGAGCATTTGACACAGTAATAAACGCTACTTTTTTTACGTATTTTATCCATATATAGACCAAATATATTGTATGTCTCATATTTCCGCGCTATATTTCAAAAAAAAAAAATTAATGGTTGCTCATCGGTAAAAAGGTTATCCTGAAATTGACACGTTTATGGCGTAGATCTGAAAAAACTGTCCATCATGAAAATTATAGGCTACTTAGTATGGCTATTTGATTGCGGTAAATATTTGTTTGCAAATTGCCCGAAAATCACTTGGCCATTTCCACGTTTTCGCAGATAAAATAATTGTAAATTACGTCAAAACGAAACCACTGACGATGTTGTAGATCTCAGTCCAGACCTAACTATAACTACCGCAGACGCGAACGCAGGGCAGGGTTTTAGGGGTTCTAACCCTCCTGAAATGTATGAGGAATCTGCATATTTTTTACATTTAACGTTTTCATAATTACATGTAAGTTCTTAAATAGTTTGTTGATGGAATGAATCTAAATTGTTATATACTACAACTATTACGAGAACAAGTGCTATGTAGAATTTATACTAGCGTGACCAATTCGTCGAACTTAAAATTGAAAATAAAGAATAAAGAAATGGCCTTTTCAGCTGTGTTTTAGTCCGGAGGCAATAAAA